AGGGGGCCCCGGCGTGGGTGAGGGGGGCAGGGCGGGGGGAAAGGGGGGGCAAAGGGGTGTGCAAGGGGCAGCGTGCACGGAGCGGAGTGCAAGAGCGTGCAAGGGGAAGGGGCGTGCAAGAGCTGTGTGTGCAAGGGATGTGCAAGGGTGTGCACGGGGAAGGGGTGTGCAAGGGGAAGGGGCGTGCAAGAGCTGTGTGTGCAAGGGGTGTGCAAGGGTGTGCATGGGGAAGGCGCGTGCAAGGGGAAGGGGCGTGCAAGAGCTGTGTGTGCAAGGGATGTGCAAGGGTGTGCAAGGGGAAGGGGTGTGCAAGGGGAAGGGGCGTGCAAGAGCTGTGTGTGCAAGGGATGTGCAAGGGTGTGCATTGGGAAGGGGTGTGCAACACCGCGTGTGCAAAGGGATGTGCTAGGGCTGTGTGTACAGAAAGGAAGGGGTGTGCAAGGACCAGTGCGTGCAAAGTGGTGCGGAAGGGCCCTGTGTGCAGAGCGGACAGGGCGTGCAAGGTCCAGAACATGCAAAGGGATGTGCAAGGGCTGCGTGTGCAGAGGGGATGGGACGTGCAAGGTCCAGAACATCCCAAGGGACACGTGGGGACTGCATGTGCAGAGGGGACGGTGCATGCAGGACCCCCGGCGCGTGGTGAGGCGCTCACCGATCTTCATCTGGAAGTTGTTGAAGGAGTGCTCGTTGATGTACTTCATCTGCTCCATGAGCTGCATGGCGTAGTCGGCCAGGGCCGCCACGTGGCTGCGGCCCTCGCGGTCGTAGGTGCTGGCGTTGAGCCCCGCCGCCGCCATGTAGGTGCTGCCGATGGTCTTGATCTTCTCCAGCTGGCGGTACTTCTGCTCGCTGATGATCTGGGGGACGGGAGCGTCACCCGGCCCCGGCTGCCTCCGTGCCACCAGCTCAAACCCCATCCCATAGAGCAACCAACTCCACAGCAGCTCCAGCACCCCCTGCATCCCATCCCGGGGGCTCCTCTGCATCCCGATCCATGGCAAACCCCAACCCATAGAGCATCCCACTCCACAGCAGCTCCAGCATCTCCTGCATCTCATCCCACGGCCTTCCCTGCATCTCAATCCATGGAAAGCCCCATCCTACAGTGCATCCCATTCCCCAGCAGCTCCAGTACCCAACGAATCCCGCCCTAGGGCCTCCCATGCACCCTGATCCGTGGCACAAGCAGCTCCCGCACCCTGTGCATCCCATCCCAGGGCCTCCTCCGCTTCCCGATCCACGGTGCACCCCAACTCGGGGCGCGCTTGCCCCTCGCGCAGAGGCCAGGCGAGCTCGGCGCACGCTCTCCCTCTGCATAGAAGCCGTGTGTGCCCAGGACACACTAGCCCCCCATTCACCCCAGTGCAGAGACCAGGCGAGCTCGGCACACGCTCTCGCTCCGCAGCATCGCCTGGGCGCGCTCGGGACGCGCTCGCCCCGTCCTACCTGCAGCTTCCAGAGGAAGTCGAGGCGCGCGGTGGACTCGACCTGCTGCGCGTGCAGGTAGAGCGCCAGCGCGAAGACGGCCAGCACCACCGGCGTCACGTACTTCAGAGCCACCTTCCCCTCCGCCGCGCTGGGGGCACAAGGGCGGCCGCGAGCGGCGCTCTGAGCTGCGGGGACGCCGCGGACAGCCCCGTTGTGTCCCCTCAGTGTCCCCAGCTCCCTGCTCACCATTGGCCTTGGGTCCCGTTAAGCGCTGGCCTGTGGGGGGAGAGCCGGGGTGAGCGCGACGGGGCCGGGGCAGCGCGCGGGGCCGCGGGGCCGGGGACACTCACAGCGTGTTGGCCACCACGAGCAGGTCGTAGTTGTCGAAGAGGGCGGCGTGGGGGCCCTCGGCCAGCAGCAGGTAGGTGCCCCCCAGCAGCAGCGTGAGCAGCAGCTTCCCCGAGCTGCTCAGGTGCAGGAAGACGGAGCAGGCGAGCAGGCTGAGCACCACGCTGTGGCTGAAGTACTGCGGGCAGAGCGGCCCATGCGCCCGCGCCCGGCACCGCAGGCGCCCACAGCGCGCCAGGATGGGAACGGGGCACCCTGCGCCCGCGCGGGAAGTTGTAACCGCAGGGAACT